ACATACATACATATACACATACATACATACACACACACACACACACACACACACGTCAATAGAAAAAAGTGTGCTTTATTTTATTGATTGAAATATCTATAATTGTAATCATTATATAGTCCAAAGTAATTCAAAACAAGTCTATGAAACAGAAAAGCATTAAATAAAAATAACATAAATGTCAGTATCTTTGTGGTTAGAAAATATCAACCAAATCTCTTTTTCTTTTTTGAAAGAGAGATTAACTATAATAATATCATAGAATGGTGTAGTGAAGGTAAATCTACTGCTGCATTACTACCAAGTCATGATCTGTAAGCTAAGTGATTACTAACAATACTACCACTAAACTTAATTGTTATTTGAAGTTAAATCAATCCCAATAAATACAGTACACGGCAATGATTTGTTTTGCAGAAGCAAGAGTGCTACATTAGAGCCAGACTCATAGTGGCACATGAAAAATACACTGAATTTCCTCCTTTAGCATTACCAGTATAAGAATCAACATTTGAACACGATCTACTCATAAATTCAAAACCTTATATATTATTAGTTTTAACTTAAATCAATCCATTGCAGGATGGAGTCTCTATTGAAAGTAATGGTCTGCCATTACTAAACATCATGCCTTTTCAGTACAGTTTGGTAGATAGAAGAGGTTGAGAAAGAGACAGCTTCTGTTCCTGAGGCGGATTCTGGATCTCCTTGTTCCTAATCCAACACCATGACCAATACACATTAATTGATATTAATAATTCATATTGAAGGCTAATATTTGAAGTCTGGGTTCTGTTTGGCTGGCTAAAATTTATCAGGCAGAAACTGAGCACAAGAATAACTGACATCAAATCAAAGCAATTCATGTCATAGCTACTCAAGATTCATAATATATTTTCTATTACTTATTGCAATAGTGGACTCTAGAATAGTCAGATGTCCTGCCTATATCCTGGTGAAGCTCCTTTCCTCTATTACATCTTAACCTTCACAAGCAGGAAGACCTAGACTATAATGTTCTCAATGAAAACAAAATGCTCTGTTCTTTTTTTCCTGTCTTCCTCTGACGCAGTTTATTATTAAAGCTATTTCTATAAATATAATTTTAAAAACTAGTAATACTCCTATTATAATCAACACAAAAATAGCAGTGTTATCAATTTTCCAAGTTAGAATTTATAACATTGTTAAATTCAAGGAATACACATACGAACATAAGGAAATCCTTTCGCTGAATATACAGGGAAAAATAGGAACAGAAGTGGTAATTGTGAACCATTTGCAGCTTTTAAATTGGTGCAAGAAGACATAAAGAAGAGGAATTGCTTTTGTCAGGTAAGTAACAGCAATATCTCTTCTGCTGCTATAGTCTGGGGGGGCTGCAGCAGTATATCTGCCAACTCATATATTGGGATTACATATCAACATTTTCATGCTGTTCAGAGTCTGAATGTAGGAGTGATAGTCTCAAACTGTTCCAAAGGACAACAGATTGTAGAAGCTCATGCTTTGTCAAGAGAAAACCAATACAAATGCATGGAACACTTCTGTTGAATTTATTCATATGAACTAGCTATATAGTTTAGGTATGAATATATTCTAATAGAAGTATGACATCTGTAAAGATAGCCACAAGTCTTGCAGTTTTCTTAGTAATTTTTTTCAGAAACAGTTTGCGATTTTCTTCTTCCTAGGCATGGTCAATTTATTGTAGTAGTTAAGGCATCAGGTTATAAGAATTTTAGTCATGCCTTGGGTATGAAGCCAGTAGGGTGACCTTGGCTCAGCTAGGAATAAGGCAACGGCAAACTGCTTGTGAAAATAACTTGCCAAGAAAACTGCAGGAACTTTGTCTGTATAATCTCCAAGAATCAGATACAATTGAATGGAAGAAAATATACAGAGAAGGAAGTTTTTAATTCTTTGTTCCAGTGATTAGTCTTTTTTTCCAAATTTAAAGGCGATAAAGTAAAATATACTACTCCACAAAAAGCAAGCTTATTGTTTTTCTTCAGTTAAGTGCTTAAAAGTAGCAGAGCAGCTTTGAGGATACACTATGTTCAATATTTTCACATTGGTCCCATTGTCAAGTGAGGATCATAGATCCTTTTCCTATTACAGCCAAAGCAGTTTTGTAGAAAAGATCTTGTTTACATTCAATCAAATGTTCTCCTATAATGTGAAATTACTAAAAATCCAATTTAAAAAGAGATGATGCTTATAAGGTAGACATCTGTCCATATAAAAGTCCCTCAATAATCAATGGGTTCTTCCTCTCAAAAGATTGTTCACTGTTTGGTCCGAGAGAACATCAGAGATAGGAATATGGTACAAATAACATCTCTTCAGACCAACTCCCTTTCAGACTTATTGTGTTTCAACTAAACTTCTTCCTTTGCTTGTATTTATACCAAATAATGCAGAAAGACATTCACTGAAACTATCTACTCATTTATTCCAACAAGGCTTGTATTTCAAGATCTTATTTTATTCTACATAGTAAAACATATTTTTTTCATATTATTAATGTGAAAATTCAATTGGAACCTTTTGATATATCATTAAATATCAGAAATGGAAATTCTAAAAGCAAATTGGTTAATTTTACTATAGTGTATCTTAAAGAATATTGGAGAAAGTTATGTAGATAATTCATAGATATATTTACTTATGCAAAAAAAATGAAAGAATTGATGACCCTACAGATGTTACTATCCAGGTTTTCTGTCTTCAATTTGACACCTTCATAAGATTAGGATATAAAATTTTCAGAATTCTCATTGTGGTCAAGAATTACAGCAACATCTGAATAGGTTTGATGATACTTAGGAATTCTAATCTGTTATTTCAAAATAAAAATAGAAGTCTACATAAAGAAATAGTTCTATCTCCAAATAAATTGTCCAAAAGCTCTTTATTCCAAAGGTCAGATTATATAAATGCAAGCAAAGACCCATAACATATTAAATATATTACATATAATCAAAAGAAAAACATAAAAAAAGAAAAAATATGTTTATTATGTAAATAATTGGATTATATTAATTCAATCTTGATATAGTCTATGTACTATCTCTTTAAGATTATAGCTACTTTAAATTGTTTCAATAATTTGAGATTAGTTTCAATTACTTATTTAATTCTATAACTTTGATTTGTTTTGAGTTTTAACTGAAAAAACATTTTTAAAAAGATTAGAACAAATACATCCAAAGAAAAAGTTTGTAGGATGCAATTACAATGCTTTCAAAATCTTCAAATCAGAAGTTCACAATACATCTGGTATTTTTTGCAAGAACTAAACAAAATCTCACGGTAATAGTGCAATATACTTATATTAAATGGATGTGAAGTTGACATTTATTGAAAATAAATGACACTGCAAAAATGCAGACATTTATTTTCTGAGTGGCATATATGTTCTAGTTATGACTATTTTATTAGGATGTACAAAATGATTGATGCAGCTGTAATCATTTTGTCTCATGGATTCATCCACTGCTGGGTGAAAGTTACTCAATATAAAACAGAAAAGCTAATGCATATTTTGATGGCTAGAAACTTAAGTTGTTGTGTTCTTCAATCTACTTTTAGAAGTATTGTTTATTCCCAAGGGAATGCTGAATTCCTGAGTTCTACCCTTGCTGATTTAATCTTGGAGGACTAACCCTTTCTAATTATTCTACAGATTGTCATACATTTTTAAAATAAGTCTCTTACGGACTTTGTTTGGATTCAAAAGCCTTCCATAACTATCAACCCTATTATCTACTTTTCATTACTGGAGCATAACATGGACTTCAAGACACTTTTATATCATGCAGACATTTTATTATTTATTTTTCACTTCAACTTCTAATACTGTTGAAATTAAACAGTAGCTAGCTTTCCTTTTCTACTATCAAAGTCTATTCAGCTGTTAGGCAGAGTGAAACAAATCTCTTCAAAATGAAATATATGGCAGCATTTTTTTAAAAGGATAGCTAAGTCCCACATAGCTTTTCCTGAGCCTATTTAAGCTCATTTGCTGTATTCAAGTATAGCAATGAAGAATAGATAGATGATAGATAGATAGATAGATAGATAGATAGATAGATAGATAGATAGATNAAATTCTAATCTGTCTCTCCATATATTTTCAATTAGCATATACATTTATGAAAAATCATAAATATAAGGGTATTAATGAAATATATTTCTAATAACCTTTATTTTAAGAGTGTGCCTAAAGCTATTGTCCTTCATACATCCTTAAAGTATAACTTCTAGCAACTTCATTCTTCAGAAATGTAGGTATCTACCTTGTGCACCAAATATTACATAATGTACCATTTTGAACATCTCCAGTAAAATATTTTTGTCAGAAATTAAACAGAAGTATGCTGCATAAGAAAACAGAAAAAATATGCTCTATAAATCTTATTATTAAGATTCCTAGAACCAAATCATACAATCCAAAAGCTTACCAAAGATAGGACCCTTTTTGGTGAAAAACAGATTTGCTTTTACTAATGGGTTTGCACACAGTTTTGTCTATTTTAAATCCAAATAAAAGTAGAAGCCCTTACTTTTTCTGAATAAGGGGGAAAAAACTACAGGTCAGGGAATTCAGACAGGATTCAGTGACACAATTTGGGCAGTCATTGTATTGGTGAGAGGAAGATCTATAAGGCATATACATTTCTGTGTACATAAAATCACATCCTTTTTCAACAACTGTCACATATTTAATGCTTATTTAGAAATTTAATCAATGATATTTATTTAGTTCAATTCCAGGATTGTTTATTCCTGTGAATGAAGCATAAACCAGTGGTTTTCATTGTGACAAAGATTGACTGTCTCTTAGAACTCTCTATGGGTTCAGGTTAATTAATGAGACTCATCTTAAGCTTATACATGATATATTACTTCCTCTAATTAGAAATAATAAACCTGATCATTATGCTGGTTAAGCTGGAAAGAAATAAGATGAATGTGCTTAACTATGATTAATAACAGTTGCACTTAAGAAGTGATTCTCTCTGCCACTGAATTGCCTGCATAGTCCTTTATGACTATGCTTTTTAATATTTTTCGTACTAAAAAGCTTCATGGATAAAATATTCCTTCCATAGTGAATATTCTAAGAAGAAAATATATTACCAAATTAGACGAACAGAAAATTATCTGTTTTTATATGTAATGAAGAATTGGCAGAATTCTCAAATTTATTGCAAGTTTTATAAGCAAAATTTAAATAATTTAAATATATTAAATAAGTTAAATAGTAACAGATATTGCAAAACTTTAATCAAGAGTCATATACCATGTTTCCCTGAAAATAAGACAGGGTCTTATTTTGTTTTGACCCCTGAAATAAGCACTTGGCCTTATTTTGGGGGAGGTCTTATTATTTTTTGAGCTGCAGGAGGCAGCGAGCGTGGTCACCTCATGGCCGCTGCTGTATTGCAATATTTTGGGGAGGGCTTATTTTCAGGGGAGGGCTTATTTTNAGGAAGGAAGGAAGGAAGGAAGGAAAGAAAGAAAGAAAGAAAGAAAGAAAGAAAGAAAGAAAGAAAGAAAGAAAGAAAGAAAGAAAGAAAGAATTGCTTATTTATTTAACTTTTTTCTCATGTGGTAAGGCACAATCACTAAAAATGTTCTTGGGGCCATTTTGAATCTTTTACTATCATGAATGTATGTTGAGACACATAAAGCAAAGTAATCGACGGAAGTTGATCTGAATCATAAACAAAGATTTTTAAGTTCCAAAATGCATCACAACATCCAAACAACTTTCATCTGCATCTGTGAACACTTTTACATTACGCACCTCAGGAAGTGAAACTCCTAAAGGGGGTAGAGTCTGTTGGAGAAAAACAGTTTCAGCTACAAGATTAAAACTGTGAAAACACACACACTAATTAAAAACATTCCTGTAAAGGATTCTGAATATGCAGCCAACCTGTTGAACAAGTAAGCAGTTCCAGTATGATTCTTCCAAATAAATTAAGTAACTACAGAATGATAACATAGGTTTAGTTCATTCCTGTTGTTTTTGTATATATTTATATAAAAATAACTATTTTCTTAACATAGTGTATGACTTAGCACAAAATAGAAAAGGAATAATTCAAAAAAACTACATCATAAAAAAAATAATTAATCTACAAATATCTGAAAAGAATCTGGATCTGAATTTTTGGATAAATAAATCTGAAGACAATTTGGAGTTCAAAATGTTTTATATAGACATATGGCTCTAAATATTACCTACAAAAATTAGGATTAAACTAATAATAATTCTTTGTTGAGTATGATCACTAATGTACTTGGTGAAGATGGTATATGATCATCAAATGTATTATTTTTAAAGGGAATTCAACATAAATAGTATTAGAACAACATATTCAAATATTGAAGGACTAGACAGCAAATCAACTTATAAACACCCCAGCAAACAATCCTGCCTGCATATCAGATAACAAGAGGAATATAACTCCAAACACATTAATCAAAATCTAGGCATATCAGTGATTTTCTCAGCTTTATCCAAAAGGATTCCAACCACCCTTATAAAAATAGTTTCTAAAAAATAGCTTTAAGTTTCCATTCACCCCTAAGATAACTTATATTGCTTGCTCTAGTATGTTTCCAAGTCACAAATTTAAAATAGAGCAAAACAGTGAAATTTATCAAAATAGTGGCATCATGAAGGAATATGAATGTATTATGATTTCTGTTAAAGTACTATAAAATAATGATTTTTTACACTAAGGTAACATGTTTTCTAAACATTTTAGTCAGACAGAAGAGCTACAGATGCAACTGGTGGTATACATTTTCTGTTTATGTCTTCAGATTGCTTACAGCTAAAAGACAGGTAAAAGCACAAGCAGTCAGTTACTTTTACAGTTTTATGTACCTAATTGTTGTATGAGACATAAACTCTATTAGTGTTACTTTTTAAGCCTACAGTTGTACCACTTTGTTTTCTTTGTTTCCTCAATTATTAGGTATAATTATTTGGAACCATTTTTATTCATTGCTTTATTCTCATAGTATATATTTTTTTAGAAATAAAATGTAAGGTTTAGAAAAATGATAGGAACATGCATAATTACTTCATGCAATCACAGTTCCACTATTACTTCAGAAATATGAATCAGGTCTCAATATTTCTACCAGTTTATTATTCTACCACTAAAGTAGTATTCATATTGCACTTTCAGTTACATGTGAATTGAAAATCATTCCATTATAAATAGTATCAAAACATTAATTTATTATGTCCTGCAAAACTGATAAATCTGGGTAAAATTTAGTTTAATTGATCAATGTTTAACACTTTAAGCTCGTTCTAATATTGAACTTTGTTCAAGCAAAGAAGTTAATCCCAAAGGTGCTTTTTCAAGGGGAAACTGGACTTTCTTGTTTTTCTTTTCATGAAGACATTTAGCTTCTTATCCAAAAAGCTTCTTCAGCTCTGACTGGACATTTGGGACAACTATGACCTGGATGACTGATAATTTCCAGAGACAAAGAAGTTAATGAAAGTTGCATAGCTTGGTCATTTTAGTTTTGACTATAAAAACAATACTCAGAAAAAAATGTTTTTCTGAGTTCTTTATTTTGAAGAATTATTGATTATATTAGCAAACAGAAAAAAGCAATTGTAAATGGGAAAAAAGTTGAAGAGCACATCCATGTACTATATTAATGTCCATTTCAGTTGCATCCAGTTATATAAAGTGAGCTATATACTGTATTCACTAATAATCCTATTTATCTTAGGATAATGTTCTGCTTTTAGTGTTGTTAGAATCTAATTCTGCTGCAATACAAAATATAGGAATGAATTAAATTAAAGTTTAAAGATATTGCCAGTCACCTTCACTGTAAGTGTTCATTTTATGGATGCAATTAATTGGATCCAATGAACAATTTCAGAACTGAGTTATCATGTTCCCCCTTCCCATATAATTAGAGTATAATTACCCACAGGATATCAGAAAGATGCAAAACCTTTCTTCTAAGTGCATCCTCATTAGGAAACAAATCTCAATGTACTCTTATTTGATCTGTGTAAATTAATTAAAATGTTACAGATATAAAAGGTGGATAGCAATAAACTGGATCTGACATCTATTAAAAATTATCCTTTGATATCTGCACACACAGTTTATATCTGAAAATAATTTCATTTCAGCCATGAACTTCATAATATATTACATATACAATGTAAAATATGGTAAACTGTCTAACAGAAGCATAAAAATAAAATCAAACACAATCGAACTAATCGAGGCATCTTTTACTAATCTTTTACAACTTGGGTATTCAAAATCATGGGACACCAATAAGAAGACACACAGTCTTTTCACATAAGACCCTCAGGTCCTAGAGAATATAGCCAATCATATATTTTTGCAACAAAAGCCATTGTCTGACTGGAAAAGATGTCCTGTACGAACTTGGTGTAAAACCATGCAGAGTTTAAAGTTTTAAACAATACCTCGAATTGAAGCAAGAAGTACACTTGAAGCTAAGTCCCATATCCTTAAAGTCTAAAAAAAAACCTGTGTTTAATCTGATACTTCCTTAATTGATATGCTGTCACATTTTGAATAAGAAAATTATCTTCAAGGCCTGTATACATTGTGTTACAATACTCTATGCAATAGTTAACAAAGGCATGGGTAATTGTTGCCTGGCAGGTTTAATGAAAATGTCTTGCAATTAACATATTCACTGCAACTATTCTAGTATGGATCATGAACCTTGAATCTCACCCAAAAGAAAGCTGGAACCATGATCAAGCCATATCAATCATTAACAAATTTCTCTTGGTGGGATTAAACCAGAACTTTTTTGTTTAATCATCCAGGCTCCATAGTCACCAGGCACCAGGCCAGGATTTCCATTGCACCCCTGCTCTGAAATGAGATAACAACGTAGATAGGTGTTCTGACTACATTGATGATATCTCATAGAAAATCACTGACTTCTTTCAATGGCTTGAAAGAAATTCTAATAACATTGTGAAAAGATTAACCATTGGAGACTCATACTGAACATGCAACTGTTCTTTTTCTCAAACAAACTGACTGGAACTGCCTGTCTAAGAGACAACAGAACCACTGTAATTTATTGCCTCAAATTATAATCTTTGCTGTCAGACCAGACCAGAAATTACCTCCATTTAGACCTAAAGGTACCAACTGGGTATCACTTTACCTGTCCCTAGCTCCACAACATTAAAATTAGGTATGGCATGGACCAATGGTATAGATAAATTATATTTACATCCTTGGTCTCAAGAAGTTTAAACCAAAAAAGATGCTGATCTTCTTTCAAGTGTCTAACTAATTGGGGTCAAGCAAAAGATTTTATCTGCAAAATAACTCACAAATATATCATAGTAGCCTATAGAAGGAATCTTAATTCCCACATTTTCCCAGTAGAGGGTGGGAATCTGAAATGAGCCCCTAGATATGAATTGACATTAAATAAGAGTAGAAGAGTATGAATATTTTATCACCACAGTATAATTTTAAAAATGGAGTTCACACTTCAATTTTCTTCACGCTAGTTTCTCTTTACTCATTTCATATCCCATAGAAAGTCAGAAAACAAGGAGTTTCTTTTGAAATTACGGTGCTATAACATTATGTAGAACATCAGACCTAGGAAAAAGATGCTGTTTGGTCTGAATGTGTAAATCAAATGGAATGTCTACAAACTGTAGCTCGCTATTCAGACATCACTTATAGTGAATAGGAGCATCAAGTGGAATCTTAATCTGAGGCTTAAAACAACAAACACTAGATTTAATGGAGCAGTTGCAAATAATAGTAAAGAAGTAAGCTAGAATTCCTAAGTTCAAGGAAGAAGCAATAATGTTTAGGATTTATATATTAAAACCTTGTAGGCTTCACATATGCATATGTGTATATACAATACATTTTCCACAACATTTTTTAAATCAAGATATTTTTAATGCAAATGACTGTACTTGGACACAGTTGATTAGCCCTGGAATGTAACTTTCTCATGAAAAAATTCTGAACAAATCTTTATTGTCAAAAAAGCCAAGGTTAAATCCTTTCATTATGCTGCAATAATACCATCATTGTGGAGCAGTTGTTTGATTTACAGGTTTGGAACAGGTTGGAAATGACGTTGCCTGTCTCCCTGGCCATATCTTAGTGTGAGACACATAAAAAAAGTTCCTCCTTTTCCTCTGAAGAAGATTCCTCAAAGGGCTTTGACAAGAACACACTTAATAATGACATCATTAGATATGTCCTGATGACATCTTATTACTTTGCAGAGAAGAGGTTTAGTGAATGCCCTACTGGTTATTATGAAATCAGTCTAGGGGTAATATCACTTTTCTATTTTTATAACATTTTCCTCAGTATTTGCACCATTATTTGCTGGTTTCACAAGCCATATGGTTCAGCGTAGCACTGCTATATCTGTGACCTGAAGTAATTTAGCTACAGTATTTAACATAACCATATTGGTTGTGTGATCTACACACAATACATCCTGAATATGAAGGATCAAGACCATAATGCAACAAAGCATTATATGTATTCCTTGTACTTTAAAAAACCCCACAAAATTTTAAATCTTCATACTTAAAATGAGCACATTTCAACTGTTCACTGTTCGCTTAAATAAATGTGACAGGGGAAAAAGACTGGCTGGTTTGATATTCTGTAGTGAAGTTAAAAGCCTGGCAAATGTACATTATGCAGCTCTGCTCATTTATTCAAAATTTCATATTTCCATTTGGTGAAAACATCATGTTTCTTAACGTTAAACATTATATATTTTTGCTAAATAATATTCTATTCCAAAAATACAGAATAATTTATCACATAATTAAGACTGACTTGTGCCTCCAAAAGAATTCCATCTTTGGAATAATTTCCAGTTAGCTTTAATACCCAGGCACTTATATTCAAAGGTATCTTGATTTTAAATTCCATATACAAAGGGATACCATATTATAAGCTTCCTGGAATATATTTGGTTATAGTTGGTTAGCCAGTTGGATTCTGTTTAACTGAGACAAGTGAGTTGTCCCCAATTAAGACTTCAATAAATTATTTTAGGGTGACACTACAACCTGAGAAATGGGTACAGAATCTTAGTAAATTGTTTTATCTCCCAATGATTATCATTCTTAAATCAAATTTGCTGCCATGCAATTATATACTGTACTCAGAATAGCAGTGTTTAGATTACATTACAGTTTTGTTTGTTTTCATATCTAACAATCACAGTGAGCAAGATTCTGTCATGCAAGTAGATCTGGCCCCATCACAAACATGGAGAATGCTATTTTATGGAATTTCTTACTTTTGTTTCCTTTTAGGAAAGAATTGCTTTACTTGTAAAAAAAAACAAAACCCACGTGCTCTAATTCTCAGTGTTTGCTGAATTTTGATAGCATAGTCAGAAAAGCATTTAGGGACTGCAAAAAAGCATTTGAGAGGCTACCATGATGATTATGTATCAAAAAAGCCATTAATTTATTTTTCATATGTTGTAATTTCCATTGCTGGTGAATCACTATTTTCTTAATATTTATCTATTACCAGTAAAAGTGTATGATGTAAATTTAAATGCAACATGATATGTTAAAATGTACAAGGACATCTTACCAATACTACTGGACAGATTGAAGTGGGCGGTAGAATGTGGTCCTTCAGAATACCACAGTCACATTCAGGCTTTAGATGTGAAGCACACTTATTATGTAGCTGTAACAAAACAAAACAAAAACAGATAAAAATATCACTATGCATTAAAACATCAATGAATTTAAATATGGCCAAAACAACATTATGGCCAAAACAACAATGTATTATGTTTCAAAATACTAAAAGACTCAAACCTAACAATCACAGAAATCTCTGTTTTATTTTTATAATCAAAGCACAACTAATAAAGGAAAAAGATTATAAAGTTAGTGTCTTTAAAGGCTCTTGTTAACAATGACGACATGAAACTAAAAGAATTACCGTACATTCTACTTTATGTTTTTCTACATTTTCTATATCATTTTGAGGATATGTATCTCTGAATAATCTGCATTTTGTATAGAAGTTGTAGGCAACTTACATGGGGTAAGTTCATTTAACACCAGAAGAAATCTATGAGAGACATTGTGATGAGAGAAAACAAAATGACTATTGAGTTTTTATGACTAATAGATGATTACAACAAAGGACTCAAACAGTAGCAGTATCATGCCTTTTTTAAGAACAATAGCGTTTAGACTTATATACTAGTGCACCACAGTGCTTTACAGCACGCTCTGAGTAGTTTACAAATGTCAGTATTTTGCTCTCAACATTCTGGGTCCCCATTTTACCAACCTCAGAAAGATGGAAGGCTGAGAAGGAGAAAAAAATCCCTTGCATTCTAATTATTGCTTTTTGAGATAAGGATTTTTAGCTTTTTCACAATTATTGTTATTTCTGTAACTGTTGTTGCTGTTGCTGCTGATGGTAACATGTTAGATGTTAATATTTTTGTTTTACGTGTATAGCTAATGCTATCATCCTTGTGAATAAATAACTCACAGAAAGGTAAAATATTGTGTACACAAACCTCATTACACATACACAGATATACAGAGAAAGGAGGGAGGAAACACCATTTATAGATCTTCTGGATATGCAAATATATTCAATAACCTAGTTTAAATCAATAAGGTGTTAGGGTTAGGATTAATCAAGCCTTAATTAAAAGACAAGTAAACAAATGCTATTAGCACAATCTTAAAAATGTTTAACAAAAAATTAGTCCCCATAATTAAACTCTTGAATTTTTTAAAATATAGTTTAATGTTTTAATTGCAATCTTGCAATATAATCCTAAACATGCCTATTCAGAAGTAAATCCTGCATAGGTCAAATGAAATTATGAATAAAATAGTGCAAATGGTACAGATGATTAAAGATACTTTTAATTCACTTATCTGAAAAAAGTCAAATACTATTTACTTGAATTGAGTAAATAAACAAATGCATTTTAAAATTGAAAACAATACTTTTTGACAACTTTGGATCATGTATAATTTGCTCAGATTTCCTCCTAGTGTATGGAGCTTCATTGATTTTATTAGTATCTATAGTGTGGATATTTTTATTATTTTTAAAGTTCTATATTGTCTTCATTTTGTTTTAGGGATGTAAAATATTTATAATAAATAAAATAAATAACACAAAAGTGAATTATAATATCACTAAATGTGTATCACATTAATATCCAAATAAAATGATTTGGAAATAAATAATTGTTGACTAACATGAGGTAGATAATTTAGCCTCTGTGTTCATTTGCCATTAATTAGCATAGTTTTATATCAATATTTTTTGCTATCAGATATGCCGGTTTTAATTACTGGGAAATATCCTAACAAATTAGGCATACAAATTGGATGTTTCTCATTTATACAACATAGTTAATAGGTAGCACATAAGTATTTGCTTTAGCAGGTGATCTTCCTCAATACAGTAAAATATGTTGTCTAGCAGCTGTTCCATAAATCACTATTCTCTGGTTTGAATGAATGATTTAATTTTCTTTGGATAATTTATCCATGTTTATGACATGAGATTGATATATCAAACTTATGATATATTAGTTTAAATATGAAATATGCACCTTTTGCCAATTACATATTCTTTATAGAGAGAGATCTAGCAAAAGATAATTTGACTGCTATATTTTTGAATTTGAAAATGATTGGCAACTAATAATACCCCTGTATACATTAATCATTATTGCAAAAGTACCTTTTTCTGGCAGTTTCCTAGCAACCGAAAAGAGGTATAGCAATTTCCCCCCCTCAAATACTGAAGTTTTATTGTGGTGGCCCTATAATCTAAAACATTGTTACGTTAATTCTCATTTTTTAGTAGTGAAACCACATTTACCATAATTAATGTACATTAATCCATGTACCATCCAATCGAAGCATTGTTACATATGAGGTGATTATTAACAGTTCTCCTACTTAGTAGTATGCTATCAACGGCTTAGTCTTCTTATTAGGCAGAACTGATCTTTGAGAAAACAAGATGTAAATGGAGTTGTTCAATATTAGATTACAGAATGCATAACAATATCATAGAATAACATTACAGAAACTCGTGGGTTATTCACAAAGAATATGTAACTGCAATTATTGCTTCTATCATAAGTATTCAGGATATATTATTTTCTTTTTCAGAAAATCGTTTGAATGTTTTCTTTCTAATTTATAAACAACATATATTTTAATGATTTTTATTTAATGATTTTGCCGCCCAATTCCGGAGTCCTTCGGGATTGGGCGGCATATAAATTTTGATAATTAAATTAAATTGATAATTAAATTAAATTTATTTTTCTTACTCCAAGACACTGACAAGCTGCACAAAATAATCAAAACAAACATAATCCTGGGAAAGATTGAGGGCAAAAGAAGTAGGGGACGACAGAGAATGAGGTGGCTGGATGGAATCACCTAAGCAGTAGGCATGAGCTTAAATGGACTCCAGAGGATGATAGAGGACAGGAAGGCCCGGAGGAATGTTGTCCATGAGGTCACGATGGGTCAGACATGACTTCACAACGAACAACAACGATATGGATGATTAAAGCACTCTTAGAGCACTTTTTCTTTGTGTAAATGAGAAACCTCATTTCATCCTAAAGTCAATTGTTTAAAAATCCAAATGAATTAAGAATCACCTTGGCAATAAAGAAAGATTGCTCCATTTTTTTCATCATCATAAGGAATTTGTGACATGCTATGATTATACATGTTCAATTATTTTTAAATACTTTGGCGCTAACATTTATGCATGTTTATTTGTTTATTTAACAGTCCTATTTGTTGCACTATTAAAATATTACTTAAATTGTTTTTAGTAGCAGTAACTAAATACAGTGCTTTAATATCTCAACTTTTATTATCGCTATTATTCATACTATTGGTAATACTTACTGTGATTTGGCACCACACACAATGTAACCCGGTCAGTCCTTGGTAACATTTAATAGTTTTATGACATTTATCACATTTTTTTGGACAATTTCCTTCCACCCAAAAGTGATGCATAACCTAGAAACGGACAAAGGGAATTATTTTTACACCACTTTGTACCAAATAAACTACTGCCAGATTAAAAATATATATATTATGAAGTTCAATAGTTAATTCACTGAAATAAACAGCAAATTAATATCTAGGTGTTAAAAGTGTTGCAATAAACCTTACTAAATAGTAAAACAATACATCTTACTAAATAATGAAGCTCTCACTTGTCTTCCACTGTTTTAGAGAGAAATATTATCCAAATAAAATTATTAATCTTGACTATCTGCTCATGCTTATTCCCCAAAGGGGGTTTCACAAATAACAGTTCCAGAAAATTACCTTAAATGTTTCTTTTAAAAAAATTAGTGGATGCTATATTTTAGATATCCTGTAATATTTAGAGTATAAAAGAGTTATGTAGAAACTTTAAATTGATGTTGGAGACAATATTGCTTCCCCAATAGCAACAGAAAAGCATTCTTTCTTTTCTATTACAAGGTAGGAACTATTGCAGCCTGTCTTCTTCAATCTGTATTCTTCAATAATGTTGATAATTCTTCAAAAAAACATGCAAACTGGTAATTCTGGGAATTCCAATTCTAATGCCTCTAGAGGTTCATATTTTCAGATATTTAACAACTTGCTCAAAGAAAAGTACAAAACTTGGACTTCTATACCCATGGGATCTAAATAAATTTCAAACTAGCTACTAGGACTACACTTAGGAAAATATCCCGAACAAGAATGTCCAAGGGCACATCTAAATAGCTGCATTAACTGTCCATTTCATTAACTGGCATAAACATATGTTGGTTAATCATTGCTGATCTCTTAAATTGTGGCAGAAAAGTCAGGTTGACTTAACATGCAACAACTTAGAACATTTAACGTGGACTTATTTCCTCTTCCATCAAATATCATTTGCTGGTGAGTAAAACAATCATCAATGTTTTCTTTAACAGGAAGCAGTGTACAGATTTGGTTTAGCAGTGTACAGAATAACTGGTTTAGTAAAGTTGCCACACTATTTGGTATCAAGTACATATATGCTTGCATCTGGGCTAGTTCAGAATACAGGTTTAGAATAATGATGAAATTCATGTCCAAAAATAGCAGGCTGAGAGGTCACGGGTATGGAAGAGAGTGAGCTCCACTACAACCAGTTCTATAAGGGAACAGGAGAAATGGCAGCACCAAGAAGTAATATCTAGAGTAGACAAAAGGTTGTGGCACTTTGTCCTCCACCAGTATAATAAAAAAAAAAAGAAGCCACACAAAAGTCCTTGTAAGCAGAAAAATGTAATGCAGTCAGAATCAGCAATACTGAGATGACAAATCTGGATCCCTTTCTTAGTCAATTGATCTTCATTGCAGCAGAAGATTAACTTTCAGAGTTCTGGTCTTATTTTGAAAACATGGGACTTGTGCTCTTTTAAAAGAGTGCTAAATTGCTGTATGTAAGGATTAAAATTACAAGATCTAGTTAGCATTTCAAAGATCATTGGTCAGGCATTAGACAGACAGATGCTCTGCAGAGATGGGTTCCTCCTGATACAGTATGATACTCCAGAAGAGGTAGTGAAAATCTGGTGTACCGGATAGGATCGGTAGTAATGGTGGCTGGGCCATGCCCCTGAACCTGTTCTCCCATCAGAAGTTTTTTTTTTTTAAAAAAAGTTTTTTTCCCCTCCCGGTTCAGGCAAGAGAAAAAAAGCTTTAAAAAGTAACAGAGAGGGAGGGAGGAGGGAAGTGAAGGGAGAAAGAAAGAGAAACAAAAAGAAAGAAGGAAACTCATTTTTCAGCCAGTAGATTCAGCAAATGAGAAAAATAAATGCTGTCGCTTTAAATTGGAACTGAGCATGTCTGGCTGTGGAATTCAGGGAGTTGAAGTCCACAAGTCTTAAAGCTGCAAACTTTGGAGTCCTGCTTTAAATTGAAAAGCTGCTCAGAAGGAGGTTTGCAAAGTGACATTCAGCAGTTATTTGGGGGGGGGGGGTGCTTCCCACAGAGGGAAGAAAAGAGGGAAGGAAGGAAGGAAGGAAGGAAGGAAGGAAGGAAGGAAGGAAGGAAGGAAGGAAGGAAGGAAGGAAGGAAGGAAGGAAGGAAGGAAGGAAGGATAGCAATTTAGAGCTCATCTAGTCCAATCCCCTGCTGCAGCAGGAAACCTTACATTGTCTGGATTATTTTGGTGTCTCTAACAGAGAGAAAAATTGCCAGAAAGGAGGAGGAGTTTACTAGAACAAGACTAGTAATAGAGGGAGAGTGACATCAAGTTGGCCACACCTACCCAGTCACATGACCCACAAGCCACACCCACAAAATAGGTAATAAAAAGTATTGAAACCCACCCCTGCCTGGTACCCAGCATCTCCTGCAGCCAAAACTAAATAGGTATAGTGATCTACATCCAGAAACTGGAAGAGTGGAGTCATGAAGTTGAAAATGACCAACAGAAACCATGCATACCCGTGAATGCAATCAGTACATCATTGATGATGAAGCATGCTATACAAAATCTTTAACAATTTTATGTCAGAAGAAGATGGAAAATATTGTTTTAACCTAAGGAGAATAAAGGACTTTTTATGGTACCTCAACTGAGGGCTAGAGATAGAATGAAACTTCATTATTTAAAAAAAATGAATGCTATTATATATGAATGCCAGAGCTATGGAGGTAAGAGGATTAATTTCAAATCTTCAGGAATGTTGAGTAATGGAATCATCATGGAATCTTCAATGACATTATGTTTTAGATTACTGAAAAAGCTCATAGAGAATATTATGCAGCTACTTACAAAACTATCAAAGTTATATTTGGCACACTTGACTGATATATTCATATACATATATACCAGTTATGGTGAACCTTTTTTGCACCAAACCGGAATGTGTGTGCATGCACACACCGGAGTGCCAGAAACCCAAAGACCAGCTGGCCAGTGTATATACATGCACTGGAAACCAGAACAGCAACTGGCGGCAGCTCGTATGCCCACAGAGAGGGTTCTGTGTGCCACCTCTGGCACATGTGCCATAGGTTCGCCATCACAGATATATACATTGTCATAAATATATAAGTATACTACAGTCACAAATGCCTTGTATATACAAAAACACACATATGCACAAAAATTCCACAGACATGAATATCGACTTACTTCAGTATTCTTTTTTGATTTCATGTATGTTTTGATACAAGATGCTGGTGCTCTTGAGACACATCGCTCATGGACAGTGTACTTGCAAACTAAAGGAAAACATAATTATCATGAAAAGTTTTGCTAAATAAATATGGCCTGTTCATTGCTCATTCTTCTACAATTTATTTACAAAAAGTTATATCCAGTTAATTGTAAAACAGAAAAGATGGTCCAGTAAAGAAAATAACATTAGCGGAATTGGAAAAGAATCTAAGAGTTCTCTTCAATAGCAACTTTTGATTAAATCAGCCCTCACTAAGCTGTTCACAATAATTCCAAAATCAAATCAAATAAATAGAAGAAATGTAATTGGCAAATGCCAAATGTTTTCCTATCATTTGCCAAGATGAAGAAATCTATATTTTCTAAACTATAGGCATGAAAGCAGCTGGTACAACTGAATATGAAAGGCTTTCTCTAAATGGCTAATTAGTCTTATTTCTAGATAGTAGCTTGCTTATTTATTTATTTTATTTATTTATTTTTGATGTGTTGTCACTCTCCTCATTTCAGCAATTTAATTCCAACTATTGCAAACTTTACTATTTTCTAAGAAATGCAATATCTCCCTTTTCCATTCTAATAAGATTCAGATTTGATTTCACAAAACATCAACATTGATGGAAGTTATCTCTGTGACATAGATTTAACACTATATTGTATAAAGAGTAATGTAATTGCAGCAGTTGAGTTTATCTCAGAGGAATCATTGCCTTATTTATTGAAGAACCAACCTAAATTAAAATAAAAAGTAAAATTGTATGAGATAATAAAATCTCTCTTCCCATTTACAAATTCTGCTGCCTCTTCTTTTCCTTTTCTTCAGCTCAAACTAAGGAAATTAAAGTGTCAGGAAGAGTATCCAATCTTTAAATGCTGAGCTCCATTCAGTTATCCTGACTCGACTCAAATTAAGGAACTATAGGGTTGTAAAAAGAAAAAGAAAACCTAAGGAAATGATATACAATCAAATCTAGTACTATGGAAAGTTATTAATCAATAGACCAAAGGAAGCAACTTAGTTGATGGCAGAGATGTCCATCCCTAAAGTCTCTGTGATGTTTTGTTTACCACAGCATAATAACATTTCTACCAATATCTCAGAAATAATAAATTGACTATTTTAACTGACAATAAGGAATCAGATAAATCTATCCCATACCTGATGCCCATGTATGGATGGAAGACACTTACTAGAGTATTTTAATTTTCAAAAATTTAACACAACATCAAACAAGAATATTGAAAACAAAGAGATAATATAACATTTTGTTCCCGCTCTTTCCTTCCTCTAGCTACACTCTACAGGGCGGGGCATAACCTTTTCCTAGGGGGTCACAGCAAGATCGACAGCAGTTTACAACTTCCGCGACACCTCATTTTAA